CGCGAAGGCTGGACTTGAACCGCTGAAGCGTCGACCATTTCTGGCCAGCAACTTTCAGTGTCATTAAGCTGCTGCGCCACCACGTCCCCGTTCCTTGATTAGGGTATTGTTTTCTGCTTGATTGTTTGTCTGCTATTAACCCCTGCTTATCTGGGTATTGGCTGCTGGAGATGATGTGCCCTGGTCTTTTTTTTCCTTCTTAGCTTTTTTTATTGTCTCTTTTGAATGATGTGTAAATGTGGTTTATCTCTATGTGTCTATCGATAGCTGATTTGTCTGAATGCCAAGCTTCCAGGAATTCCCTAGCATTCTTGGATTTAGCTTGGTCTAGGATGCTCACAGTTTCCCAGTTGAAACTATGCTTGAGTCTGTCCATGTGTTGTGAGATTAAGGAGTTTTCATTGTGTCTTTGGAGTGCTAGTTGGTGATCATGGATGCGCCCTGCCATGAACACCAACTAGCAGACTGCATGGATGCACTCTGTGAAGTCAGAATCAGCATCCACCATTCAACCTCAAGCCTTAATCCCCTTGGCTGGAATATGATAACCTTCAGGAGCTTTGCCAGCTTTCTGCCAAACTATCAGATTTCTTACACAGTGGCTGAAACACCTAGTCACTGACATAAGAAGCCATGGAATAAGTCTGTATTACAAGCTTATGTAGATGAGTACTTTCAAATGAAAACCTATAGATAAGCAAATTAAATTGGCAAGATTCTGGTTCTTTTTTTACACTGTTTCAAAGTAAAGGGAAGGAGGTATGTATCATTCGTGAAGGTAGGGCAGTCTGTACCTGTTGAACATTTTGGAAATGGCTACAAGACTTCATGAGAACCAGCTGTCACACCTGACACTCAGTGAATCTAAAACAACCTTTCCATTTAAAAGTAAACTGGGAGTAAACGTAGTCTTCATTTTCAGGCAAATGTAGTACATTAAAATTAAGTATTTTAAAGTTTAAGATTACCCACTTTCTTGACAAAAATTATCGACACAATAATTTTTGTCAAGAAAGAGTATAAAACTCATAAAGATAGGAAAACTTATATACTGTATGTCACATGTCCTTTGAATAACACTGGATCTCCATCCCTCAGTACTTCTAGAAACAATAAGTAAACGCAATGGAAAAATGAATGATAAAATAATAAAACATTTCACAAGATGTAAGGAAATAAAAGTGAAAAAAGAAAAAAAAATTGTGTGTGTGTATGTGTGTGTGTGTGTGTGAGAGAGAGAGAATAATATTTACCTTTCAAAAAAGACAATTACCTTGTACATACGGACCCATCTCGGGGTGTTCACGGACACGAAGTGTATAAGGCTTCTTGTGGTTTGGCTGCCTTAATAAGTCTCGGACTTGCTCATTATAGATTTCTAGGAAACTGGAAAGAAGTAGAAATGATACAAAAATTCTTGATGAAGGCTTTGGGACAATGACATAGCAAGGTCAATCCAGCAAAGCAACAGTGGGGGGAAAGGTAGAGGTCTGGCAAAAAATGATTTCTGCATTCTTTTATTGGTTGGCTTGAGGTCTGCTCTGGCTCTTCTTGTGATGAAATGAATACAGTCACAAAGCATTGTGAGAATAGCTTTGGGGAATATTTAGGGATGACAACAGCAACCATGTGGAAGTGCCTTAAGTGTTAATACTGTGTTTCAATCTAAATGTTCCTTTCCTCTCAGAGAAGATCCTTTAAGAAAGGGAATCTATATTCTTAGAGCTGTGCATTGCCCTGGGTTCAGTTCCAGAAGCATGTGGAGGAATGAATGTAGCACCTGATTATAACTCTTTAAAGCAGCCTTCCTCAGGTTGTTTGGCAGGTGCAGAGGGTGGCTGGGCAATCCTGCGAAAAGGTATGACTGCTTTAAAGAGTTGTAGAAGCTGCTATGTTCATACTCCTGAAGTACCTTTTTGGAATCCAATCAGAAGACCTGCAAAGCCCTATTATATTCCCTTTCCTGCATTTTTGCATTAAATCTGTGAAAGCAAATATTTAAGTATGTACCATATTTACTGTTATTATATCACTAAAGATATTTCTTTGTCAAACTATCATAAACAATGCCTATTTTATATTGTTAATGTAGAAGTTGACAATATAAAATTTAAATTTAAAAAGTTGAGATTTTTACATGTTTAAGTAGAACTGAACAAAGCCAAATATTAAACATCCAAACAACCTCTAAAACATGATGAAATTCCAAATGACAATAATTATGCTATCAAAAGAACTTAGAAAGAAAAAACTACCAGTAGTTTAATACAAAAAAGAATAGGTAAAAACCTACATAACCATATGAGAAAATAAAATAATACCTACCTAACTTCTACTCTGCATGATGCTGACTGTTTGGAAGAGGCACCTTCTCTTGAAAAAAGACCCTATGAAAAGCAATAATTCATA